CTTGCACTGTTGGTGAGAATGTAAATTGATACAGCCACTATGGAGAACAGTATGGAGGTTCCTCAAAATACTAAAAATAGAACTAGCATACAACTCAGCAATCCCAGTACTGGGCATATACCCTGAGAAAACCATAATTCAAAAAGAGTCATGTACTACGATGTTGATTGCAGCTCTATTTACAATAGCCAGGACATGGAAGCAACCTAAGTGACCATCAACAGATGAATGGATAAAGAAGATGTGGCACATATATACAATGGAATATCACTCAGCCATAAAAAGAAACGAAATTGAGTTATTTGTAGTGAGGTGGATGGACCTAGAGACTGTCATACAGAGTGAGGTAAGTCAGAAAGAGAAAAACAAATACTGTATACTAACACATATATATGGAATCTAAAAAACAAAGGTTCTGAAGAACCTAGGGGCAGGACAGGAATAAAGACGCAGACGTAGAGAATGCACTTGAGGACACAGGGAGGGGGAAGGGTAAGCTGAGACGAAGTGAAAGAGTGCCATGGACATATATACACTACCAAACGTAAAATAGATAGCTAGAGGGAAGCAGCCGCATAGCACAGGGAGATCAGCTCGGTGCTTTGTGTCCACCTAGAGGGGTGGGATAGGAAGGGTGGGAGGGAGACGCAAGAGGGAGGAGGTATGGGGATGTATGTATAGGTATAGCTGATTCACTTTGTAATACAGCAGAAACTAACACACCATTGTAAAGCAATTATGCTCCACTAAAGATGGTAAAAAAAAAAAAAAATCTGTTTTATAGAAACACACACATGCATAGTGATATATGTACAAAATTCTTCACTGTGGCACCATTTGTAATAACAAACAGCTATAAACAACCAAAATGCCTATCAATAAAGATTAAGAAAAATCATTATGGTACATTTATACTGTTTGGCGCAGTGCCAAACAGTCATTAAAAGTATCAATCTATATGTATACTGATTTGAAAAGATCTCCAAGACATTAAGTACAAATGCATATCTCACAACAATGTATAGGGTAATTCTGTTTATGAGTTTATTATGAAAAATGATAATTTTATAAAGAAGATGTGGCACATATATACAATGGAATATTACTCAGCCATAAAAAGAAACGAAATTGAGCTATTTGTAATGAGGTGGATAGACCTAGAGTCTGTCATACAGAGTGAAGTAAGTCAGAAAGAGAAAGACAAATACCGTATGCTAACACATATATATGGAATTTAAGCAAAAAATATTTTATGAAGAACCTAGGGGTAAGACAGGAATAAAGACACAGACCTACTGGAGAACGGGCTTGAGGATATGGGGAGGGGGAAGGGTGAGCTGTGATCGGCGAGAGAGAGACATGGACATATGTATACTAACAAACGTAAGGTAGATAGCTAGTGGGAAGCAGCCGCAAGGCACAGGGATATCGGCTCGGTGCTTTGTGACTGCCTGGAGGGGTGGGATAGGGAGGGTGGGAGGGAGGGAGACGCAAGAGGGAAGAGATATGGGAACATATGTATATGTATAACTGATTCACTTTGTTCTAAAGCAGAAACTAACACACCATTGTAAAGCAATTATACCCCAATAAAGATGTTAAAACAAAAATTAACACATCCATCACCTCACATATTTATCTCCCTGGAATTTGTAAATGTCCAGTCAAGAGACTACAGCCCTCAAGGAAATTCTCATGACTTAGAGGAAGAGGCTAATGCCTAGAATAGAGAAGGGACCCCAGTTAATAAATACCTGCTAGGAGAACCACACCTCCCAACGGGCGACTGCCAGGACAAGAGTTGAGAATACACACCAGCAGGCCATGGAGCTGGCCAGCGCACTAACCCCATTTCCTGTCCCAAAGTTTTTCATTTAGACTCAGAGTTTTTTCCTTTCTATACTATTTTATATAGAAGTTCATGTGAAAATAAGATTGATTTTGTAGAAATTTATTTTATAGTCATGTTTGCCTAGAAGTACATCCTCAATGATGCAAGGTAGACCCATATTGCTGTTTCTGTTACGGCTGATTATGACACGAACCGGCCTGTTTACTGAGCAGTGGGTAACTTTAAAGAACAGGATATTTAAAAGAAAATGATAAAATCTTTGTACATGTAGTTCTTTAGGTAAGGAGTTTGTGTCAGAGGTAGTAACAATGATGAGAGAACCCTGTAATGAATTTAGCATATTAAAAGACCATTTAGAGACCTTAGATATTAAACTGGTGCATTCACATATGAGTTTCATTTCAGGAAACACTTACTGATATGTCTAGGGAAAGGGTATTAAAAACATTTGTACCGAAAAGAACTTAATTGTTAGAAATATAGTTGCCACGGACTAACTGAATTATGTTCCCCCCCGCCACTGCTGCCCCTGCAAATTTATATGTTGAAGTCCTAAACCCCAATGTGACTATATTTGGGGACCAGGTTTTTAAGAGGTAATTAAGGTTAAATGAGGTCATATGGGTCCTAATCTGATAGGACTGGTGGCCTTATAAGAAGAGAAAGAGAGAGCAATCTCTCCACAGGCAAGCACCCAGAAAAGGCCATGAGAGCACACAGCCAGAAGGCGGCCATCAGCAAGCCAGGAGTAGAGTCCTCACCAGAATCCAACTGTGCTGGCACCTTGATCTTGGACCTTTAGACTCCAGGCTATGAGAAAATAAATTGCTGTTTAAAAAAAAAAAAAAGAAAAGAAAAATGATAATTTTAAAATATATATGATATAAAAATTAAAATAATAAATTTTATATTATAAAAAGTGTAATATATATATAGTGCATTGAAAAAACCCTACAAGAATACATAATTATTAACAATGATGACCGCTGGAACAGGAAGTAAGGATATGTGTGGAGTGGAGTGAGAAATGAAGAACTTCTGTGTTTTACTCTATAGATTTTGATAATATCTAATCTTTTACAACAACAGTGTATTCATTCATAGGTGCACTTGTGTGTGTGTGTGTGTGTGTGTGTGTGTGTGTGTGTGTGTGAGAGAGAGCGAGGCGGGGGGGGGGAGGGAGAGAGAGAAGAGGGTGAGCTCTACCCAGTATATCATTTCTCATATTTGCTATAGGAACCTTTTGGAATAAATGGATGGAACTATACTTTATTGAGAACTTACCATATATACTCTGCACATTTATATAACTCACATTATCTGTACTGCAACTTTATGAAGGGAGAGTTGCATGTATTTAATAGATGCAAAAAGAAGACAGGATAGACTTGACCAAGGTACCAGGATAGCCCTCCTTCCAAGAACTTTCCACTGTACTTTGGGCAGGAGCATGTAAATATTGGAAAGACAGTCGGTGCATCTGTGCAATACACTGGGAGTTAGAGGAAAACAAGGACAGAGTGACAGCTTGCTTCAGACATAAGGTGTTCCTGAGTTTTCAATAGGAGTGATCTTGGGTCATGTTTTCAGCTCTGCCTGCCTACTTCCTGCCTTCAGTTGGGTTCTATGTCTCTAGCATCAGCTAGTGGTTCCTGCAGACTGGGTACACTTTCTTCCCAAACCATGTCACTGAGCCCCTGCCTTCTCCCACATGAGCCTTTTTGCAGTCAGATTCAATAGATCTTCACTTCATCCCATGGGAGAAAGGCCGATAAGAGACTGACTACTTTCTACTGACTCCAATTAGCATAGTGTAACCAGGGTCATGTGATGCAAATAAGGACAACTGTATTTGGAAAAGACAAGTGAGGGAAAAGTTACCTTTGTTGCTAGACAGACCTGATGCTGAACGCCAGCTTTGCCACTTGCTCATGGTGTGACACATGCTTTGTTTCGTGTCTCTTCCTGTTGCTCTCTGTAAAGCAGGAA